ATTGTTCAACAACAAATCTTAAACAACTATTTCGTTTATCACATTTAAGTATTTCACATTTATCTCGAGCATCACTTTGGTATAATCTTCTTCGTCAAAATCAAACACGTCCTCAACATAGATTTCAACAAATTATCGAACGATATCCAGAGGATGTACGGTATGTTTCATTCATTATTAAATGTACTCAACCATAAAAATGTACGTGAAAGATATATCACATAGTATATTATAAAACGATTTTCTGCGTACATTTTCTCTCGTTCGAAAGATTTTTCATCAAAACCTTGTTTCAAGGTAATAGAAAACTCGGTTTCGAAGTAAATATATACGCAATAGATTTGTTATCTGATTATTAAATAAAAGAAAAGTATGTAGTATTTTATTGATCATACTGTGAGATAGAATAACTATTGAAATAATACATAGGTGTAAAAGTAAAATCTGACTTTAGCATTCAATTCAACCGATCTATTCATTTGAAAACTAGAGATTAGTATTATAAGCATGTTTATAATACAGTTATTCGTAATTTATAACAGGTCAATGACAAAAAACAGCCATCGTGTATGTGTTGATATTTGATAGGCTACATGTTTTAAATAGTTATTGAATATATATACATTGCCAGTTGTAACTCAGAGTTCAAGTATCGATATATCTTTGATAAGTTAACTTACTCTAAGCAATCGAGTTCTATAACAATCAACTGAAAGTTATTGCTTGTCAGCTAAATTATCTTTTTTTCCTGCTATTCATAGGATTCAAATGTTACTACTTAAATCAAATATTTCTAATTTCTTTCTTTGTGTTGAATTCCTCCTACAACATCTAAACATAATTAATTGATGTCTTAAAAACCACTCTATTTAAACAAAGAAAATTGAAATGGAAAAGTTGAATATATAAGACATATTTGAATGTCTCACTATGAATTTTAGAATAAGTTAATATATCAACGGTATAGCTTCGCTATAATTCTAAACTACAATGTAATAGAGAAATTTTTTGAACTTTATTTTCTATCTTATCTTTAGACATATGTTTGGTCGTCGAAATGAGATATTTGTTCGTACTCCATCGTTTGTTGATGCCAATCATTTACCACATTATCATCTAAATCGACGTGGACAACATGCAGTAACACGAATATTAAGTGTCTTTGCTTATTATCATCCTGATATAACATGGGCACCCTTACTTGGACCAATTACTGCGATATTTTTACATTATATGACAGAAATCGATGCATATGAATCTTTATTAATTCTTACAAGTAGTGATTATAAAATAATAACTCAAACTGAATTACAATTTCAATCATTAATATTAGCATTTCGTAA